AGTGCAGATGTGGTTGTGTACATAGTGCAGATGTGGTTGTGTACATAGTGCAGATGTGGTTGTGTACATATGATCAGATGGAAACAGGACGAGCTCACAGCCCTGTCCTCACTCACCTCGAGCTATTCCTCCTGCTAAGAGTGGAGCCCAGTGGGCCTGCTCGCCCATCCTCCTCCTCAGGACCGCACACAGCTGATCGTAACCCGTGAAGTAGATCATTGTGGCCGGCACCGCCATCACACTAACACAACACAACACAACAACACAACACAACATTATTGTAAAGAGCTCGTTTGCAGATGATGAGGTAGCTTGTAACAAATGTTTGTTTACTTAGTCAGAGCTGATTGAAGCATGTTCCAGTCCTAAAACCAGTCTGATTTAAATGTGTAACGACCAGGCTAAGTATCATGGACACATCTGTTCTCAGCTTTCAAACACTGTAACAACATGTTTGTTGGACAGATGGAGACTGTAACGTGGCTGTGACTGAATTATTGAATAGTTTTCATGCAGGAGGGAAGCCATATTGGATTGATCAGGAATCTGACTTTCCAAGAATAAATTCAGACTTTTGGAGGGAAATTCCAGTTGGATTTGTTTGTTTTCAACCTTTCAGTAGAAATAAAAACCTAAAAGTCCTTCCTGTAGTTCTACTGGATGAGTCTAAAGACTCAGGACACCAGTTTATTTCAGAAACAAAAGGGAAAATGAAATATGTGAATATCCCAGTAAGTAATGAGTGAGAGGACCCGACCTTCAGGCTGTGTTCAGAACATGGCTGCCATATTGACGAGGGCAAGTGTTTCTAACAGGAAGGAGGTCATGTAGCAGATCAAAGACATTCATCTGAAATCTCTCTTATGGTTAAAACGTTCAAACAGAAAGCTGCAACAACTGGGAACTTTGCAGCTATTTGACATGTTCAATGTGCTGAACACAAACATGTCTGAGATAAACAACTAAAGGTTTCTAAAGGTTTCAACTTCCTGTGTTGACAACTTTAGAATCACAAAAGTTATTACACTTCTTTGATATGTTACATTACTGTTGGATTGTTATTTTTTAATTTGATCCAATATGGCGGCCATGTTATGAAGATAGGCTAAAACATAGACCCCCTCACCCATTAATCCTGCCGTATTCAGATATTTGATTTTATTTTCTGAAATAAATGGGTGTCCTGCAACTTTTGACTCACCCAGTAGTTCACATTAAACACATTAACGAGCCCCTGAGCCACTGCTTGATCAGTTTGAACTTATCAGTTCTCATGTCTGGTCAGTATAAAAAAAGGAGTCGTGATTTAATAAAGTCTAAATAAATAGAAAATAACCAAAGTGTGAACTCACAGTGTTGGAGGCAGTCCACTCCATAAGGCTCTGATTCCCTCACAGCGAACTATTTTGTAGAAGGCGTCCTGCAGAGACGAGGAGCACAGAGTCAAGATGGCTGAAGAAGTGTGAGCTTAAAATTCACTACTTCCTTTTAAAATGAATGGAAACTGATCTGCCCCATCTTTAAACCTTAGTAAAACATTATTATAGATTGGTACATTACGACGGAATATTACGGCCACACAATGAGATTTTTCTTATTACGACAATAAAGTCATAACATGAGAAAAAAAATCATAATATTATGAGAATAAAGTCATAATATTATGAGAAAAAAATCATAATATTACAAGAATAAAGTCAGGATTATGAGAATAAAGTTGTAATTTTACGAGATTAAAGTCATAATAATTAGAGATTAAAATCGTAATATTATGAAATAAAGATAAGATAAGATAAAACTTGATCCTACAGTGGGGAAATTTGCACATTACTGCAGCTCAATACAGGAGAGGGTGTGAAGAATAAAGAAAGATAAATAAAAGAAAAACAAAAAAACACACTATACACATGAAATATAATATACATTTATGTACATATATACCATATAGCACAGTAAATAAATGAATGTATGTAATGAATGTACATGAAGGTGCATATTAAAGTTCATATTAGTCACAATATTATGAGATTAAAGTCATAATATTCTAGTCTTTACATGAAAAAGCCTGCAGTTATCACTGCATTAAATGAGGAATATTGAGCAACTTGTCAAGTTTATTGCTTTAAAATAAATAGTTAATCTTTTAGCATATCAGCATCAAATTATCAGTAGCAGGACTTGGATATTGTTCAAAYGAATAAATGATCAACTGAATCTGTAATTAATGGATGCATTGACAGATTTAGTCGTCCCGTAGTTAATTTGGATGAAGTCATATTAATCTAACAGTGACACAAGTCATCACAGACCACTTTATAAACACACACATGGCTGTACACAGCAGGTGTCAGCAAAATAAACAGGAAATGARSAACRGGAAATACACACGTCATKTAAGATTAGGACTTTTTATCATAATATTGTGACTTTTTTCACATAATATTATGACTTTATTCTTATAAAATTACCACTTTAATCAAGTAATATTATGGCTTTAATCTTGTAATATTATGACTTTATTTTCTTAATATTATGACTTTATTCTCATAAAATTACGACTTTAATCTCATAACAATAATAAAAAACCTTGTTGTGTGGCCCTAACACTCTGTCGTAGTAAATACATGTGGGGAAATCTTACAAAAGTGCCACTGAAGTGACCGTGGGCTCTGGACCAGCCGTTTTCACACACACACAGGTGGTCCATAAGTCCATTAGAGTAGACGAAATATTTTCCTGAAAGATATTGAGGGAAAAAGTACATGTAAACATACAAATATTATAAAATAAGGACACATGAAAGTGTGCAAACAGAGTTCAGAGTGATGTTTGTTTGACCTTTGAAGAGAGGATTTTTCTGTGCTTGCAGTCGGATCTTTATGACGTCCAAAGGTGTGACTGAAGAAAACAACAAACAACTGCTCAGTGTGAACTTGTGTGTACAACAAAGTGTTTACTCAACAACTGTAACTTTTTTATTCTGTCCTCTAAATGTCAACTTTTCACGCAAAACTTCCAACTTGAACTGCATCTCAAGGTGCAACTTAACTGAACTGAGTCTCATCATTTAAAATATCAGTTCATTAACTGTGTTTCTCTAAAATTAAACAGTTTTTAACCTTCAGTTTTTCTGCTGAGAACAAAGTTATTTTTATTATTGATGACTTTTTAATCAAACTTAAATCAAATCTTTATATGTTTTAAACAGCTTCACGCAGTTAAGAAATAATAGTTATGATAAAAATTTAAGGTTTTACATCAGGACATTATAAAATAACAGATAAATAATTATCTAGGCACCATCTGTTCTTAAAATGATTAAAAAATACATTTTGATACGAACAGCGTCTATAAAATTAAAGAAAAACTGATGGAGTGAAACAAATCATCAAACATGAACTTTTACCTGAGTGAAGCAATCATACAACAGATAAAGATCATAAAGACATTTCCACAAAGTAATAAAGTTTATTAACGAATGAGAATCATTCAGGACAGTTGTCTGTCAGGAATAAATGTCTTTAAAACACCTGCCTGACAAAGTGTTTGAAAACTGATGTTTCTACAGGCTGCATCAGGCTGCCTCACCTCAACATACTGTTTATACGTATAAAGACATTCTTATTCTTATTATTATTATTATTATTATTATTATTATTACTGAAAACCTTTATATATATGTGTGGTCTCACCTGAACATACTGNGTGTGTGTGTGTGTGTGTGTGTGTGTGTGTGTGTGTGTGTGTGTGTGTGTGTGTGTGTCCCATATCACTCCTTAGCTGCAGGCTACAGATGAACAGTGTTGGCAGAAACCAGTACAGGAACAGATGGTTTTCCTGCTCTTGTCCAGCCTGCCACTGATGAGCAGAAGTCATTGTTAGACAATTAGCTTGGTCTAATTTCTGCCCTAAATCTGCTGCACAATGATTTCTATTACTAAGTTTCATTTTAGGTTTGGAGAAAAATGATTAAATTAGAGCTGGAATTATAAATCTAAGGCAATAAAGTTTTTACCCATGTCTGTGTGTGTTGGGGGCACCACCAGGGGGCCAGGGCATAGGCCTCCTCTAAAAAAAATGCTGGTCTATTTGACCTGATATATTTTTCCTCTTGATCCCAAAGCTTTACTTTGTGTGCATTTTTAATTTCCACTATTTTTAGTATTAATAGAAACTCCTAAACATGAAACAACATTGTTTTTGAGCAATTAGAAGTTAAAATATATATTTTATTGTCACAAAAAGTATAACACTGCATTCTGAGAGACTTTCAGTAACATCTCAACAACTGTTTATTTTGTGTGATTTTCTTTGATTAATTAAGTAATTTATATATATATTTTTGCGATATGTTGTTACTCTTTTAAAGAATGCATTCATATTTATTACAAAACTCTGATGTCACAGGCACTTAAAGAAATATAGCTCAGTCATTTTACAGCTATTGAGCTAAACTTTGTTGTGGTAGTAGCTGACAGTAAGGTTGGGAGATATTGGCCAAGAAATGAGTCACGATTAATTGTCGTGTTTAGCCGATAACGATAAATACGACAATTAATCCCCTGGGGTCTCTGGACGCACTTATATTCTAGTCACATGACCGATTTAAATCACTCTACTGGGAAAGAAATGCTCTCTGTAAAGATCGGCTCCAAATTGTGTCAAAAGTACAGAATTCAGGCTATACATCAAATTTTTAATAGTGTTAATAAACCAAGTAAAACCAGAGTTATGATCAATAAATTATGGTACTTTGTTTTTAAATGTTCATCATATTTGAAGAGGAGAGGAGCACCAAGCAGACTGACGGCATTAATCGTATTAATTATAAAGTGTCAAAAAATAATCGATTATGATGATAATGCACACGATACGAATTTGCCCAACCCTAGCTGACAGGCATTCAAAACACACACTTTAAGTGCTAAAAGTTCAAAGTAGCTCTTGCAGTTTTCCACCTGGTTTTAAGGTTTCACCAAAATGTTCACAGCTCAGTTCCTCAACACAAACTTTTATCTGGTTGGTTATTTATTTTGGGCTCTGGTTAAAACATCAGAACGGTTTTCTTAATAAAAAACAAGTATAATATTTAGCTCTTACAACAATAAGACAGTTAGCGCTGACGATTTCCTGCTTCACAGATATTAGGACTCAGTTCTGGAGAAGGGCATTACAGCGAGGTACCCCGGCCAGCGTGTGTGTGTGTGTGTGTGTGTGTGTGTNTACTACTACTACTACTGAAACCCTTTATATATACTGTACATATATGTGTGGTCTCACCCAGCAGGGATGTGATGAAGGCTCCGGAGCAGGAAGACACCATCTGCTGCAGAGGAGTGATGTCATCATCACTGACAGGATGAGAAGCATTCTGACCACTCATCCTCTCCTGAAACAACAACAACAACAATGACAACAACAACAACAACAACATGACATTCAGCACAGTGCACAAGGTTTACAACACTTTAGTTTTCAAAATAAGAGTATTCATGGCTCAGTTTCCATGCTAGGAAACACCACACAAGCTCGTTCTGTTTAACGCTGTTAGCTAATTAGCTTAATTAACCTACCTGCTAAAATAACACACCGTCAGCAGAATTAAAAAAAACACTTGTTGTATTCCATATTTTAGTTTACTAAAAGTACAGCAATAACTGCTGTCATGAAAGTCAAACACGTGTGATGGTCAGAGGGTCAGAGCCAGCCTGTTTACATCTATACACACGGATTATGTAACACATCTATTTCAGTTCAGCACATTCCTTACATTTCTCAAGCACGTTTCTGCAACATAAATAAAATTATAATCTAAGAATTCACAATATGTCTATTATAAGAACGTGTTTCTTTAGTCAGTTTGTAAATCGAGTGCTTTTACTTTTTTTATGGTTTAGAAAATAAACATGTTTATTGAAACTGTACAGTCGAACATAAAACTACATTTACTTTAAACTGTTGTTGCCAGGTAAGAAGAGATATGCGTCAGAGCGCACACCTCAAAGCTTGAAGGTCTGAGTGAGAAACAAAAACAAAATATTGTTAAAAATATCAAAATAATGTGATGTTAATCCATTAAACGGGTTTGCTTTATTAAATTATGAGATATTTGTTGTTTTTAATGTTAAAAACAAAACCTAGAGAATACGAGAAAGTAGGAAACGTGGCAGCCCAGACTCACGACATCAGAGTGGGTTTAAAAGCGGGAACTGACCGTTAAAAAGGAGACAGCAGTCACGGAGTTGTGTTGTGATATGTTTTAATAAAAAATGTTGTAARCTGGTTGTTTTGAAGGACTTTCAGGTGACGGACATGGAGCTTCTCGTTTAGTGTAAGAAGGATATATCYGGTTTGATGAAACAGGAAACAGTTCAGCTAAAGTCACATTTCACATGATGAAACTTGTTTTGTTTGTTTAACCTTTGTTTTGTTATCAGCAGTGAGCTGCAGAGCCTTTACGGGATAGAAGGACCTGTTTATTCTCAATAAAAGAGATTAAAATGAAACCGAAACTCTCCCAGAAACACACAGGACCCACCTGGACAGGTGAGCTTTGTTTATTGTTGCATAAATCAAAATAACAAAACTTTTCTTTCTTTTCCTTCAGACTGGAAACAGAAGGTCCAAAATATGTTTTAAAGCTTTCTAAAATATTAGTAAGTTATATTTAAAGTTTACTGAAAGTTTGGAACTGTTCAAGTTAGCTTTAGAGATAAACAGTGGTATGGTGGGCAGCACTAACCTAAAAATTACTTCCACTAACCCTAAAGCACTAACTTTAATATTTAGATACCGTAATGTTAAAGCACTAACTTTAATATTTAGATACCTTAGTGCTAAAGCACTAACTTTAATATTTAGATACCCTAATGCTAAAGCACTAACTTTAATATTTAGATACCNAGCTTTTAAAGACAAGAATCTGAAAATGTAATTAGGTCATTTTGACCAAATTTGACTTAATCCTCATTTCGATGTGATGGCTCACATTTATATTTAAGAAACTTAGCATAATACACATGATTTTATCCGTTATGTCACATAATTGGCATATTTTCTTTTGAATTTTGCTCAGCTAAAGGGAAACAGGAAGTGACATCAAAGGGGAACTCTTTGAGCAAGAGAACTCTGGTCTTTGTTTATTGAAATTATATTATTTGAACTCTGACTCTTTCTCCTCTCTCTATGATACTGATTATAAAAATACAAAGAAACATCAGATTCTTCACTACGTCTGTTTGTTTGTTAGCCATTTTAGCTACACTCTGTTTACATTCAGACATTCCCCTTTGACATCACTTCCTGTTACTTCACATGCAAATATCTCAACAACTGTTCATCTTACCAGTGTTAAATCTTTTTTACAATATATTATCAATGTTATCTTTCCAAAAATACATTCATATTTATTATAAAAAATTGATGTCACTGGCACTTTAAGGCTGTCCTACAGTGTGTGTTCATGGTTCTGACTCTTAATATTTGGTATTGATCCGGCACATTTTACACACATCCAGACAACATTTCCATTAACATTGACACACATATTGAGGCCAGAGATGACCTAGTTTAGAACAGTTTTAGACCTTTTCAGCATTTTAAAACGGTTTTGACAGTAAAAGCTGATTTTGTGTGGAATAAAAAGTAGGCTGAGAGTAGGGTTTTAAAAAAGGAAGACATTTTATTAGTTCTCTGTCAGGACGCAGCGATGTTGACACACATCCTCTGGGATGAGATGAATGTGGAGCAGCAGCTCAGCTCGGGGGAAATGTAGTTCCAGTTTACACAGTTATGCTGTATCGAATGCAGCAGTCAGTAACTGAGGCCATATTTAGGTCTGGGCTCATCGTTGCCCTGATAGTCATCAGCCAAACGCTGGAAATAGCCCTGATGCTAATTAACCAGCAGAGCTTGTTATAAACAAGTCATTTGTGGCTTCCAGTCAGTTTAACCAGTTCAAAAATATTATGAGCATCTTTTTTTTTACTAATGTTGCATGTTTTCATAAAATTAAGTTTGAGCCAAAAATAAAAAGTTTGCTTTTTGTTTTGTTTATTTGCCTGTGTAAGTTCTCAAGACATTCTTTCTAATGTGTATTTTTAAGAGTAACTTTTCTCTCTCTGTTCTCAGGGACCAGCAGCATTCGAAAAATGGCCCCTGCAGAGGTAAGGTTGCCAGGTTCTTCCCCCAAAACCTATTTGCAGGAAGTAATGTTAATGTTGAACCTGTGGAGAAACTGTGGGGTGAGTTTAGAAACATGAAGCTTGTGACAGCACAGTTGAGATATCACTTACAAAAGACTTACTGTGTAAGAAGAATATTGGACTTATTAAACAGACAAAACCAGGTTGTTTTTCAGCACTTAAGAATTACAAAGTTTCTTCTGTGTTTATCCAGTGTGATTTAAAGTCCCCACGATGGCAGATAGCCTTTTTTTTAAGGCTGCACAATATTGTAAAAAACTAACATTGTGATATTTTTTTTAACCATGCGGGATGAAAAAGTGCAGGATTTTTTAAACAAATGATTTGAAAAGCACTAAGTTGTGCTGTCATCTTATTGCTGATAAGGCTGCACTGATCTTACCTTTATTTTGTGCAGATTAGAAGTATGTTTTTTTGAGTTATTCTTGTTATTTATTTCTTGCTTTTATTTTGCTGGGACCTGAGTACACGTGTCCTTCTATCATGTGCAAACCTATATTGTCTTTTACCACCTTGGCATACATATTACATATTTCACATTACATATTACATATTACATATAGGCACCTAGTTTCTGTTTCTGTTGCACTTTAATATAAGCATTTTACCTCTTTTCCTCTAGTTCTGTGTGAATGTGCTCATCTTCCTTGTTTTCTTTAAGATCCTTATCGTCTTATTGTAGGGCTATAGCTCTACTGAATGCACACAGACCCTAACCCAGGGGTCTGCAACCTGCGGCTCTTTGAAAATGTGACCAAACATAACAGAATAATTTTTTTGTTTTTATACCCACAACAGAAATCAATTTGTAAGCAAATACGTGATCAATACTACTAATGCAAAAAGTAAAACATGTTAGCTTATGCTAGCCTGTTTACTTAAATCCAACGTTGTCTTTCTCTCAAATCCATCAGAATTACCTTTAAAGAATATTAAAAACTACATAATAAGAATT